TTGCACAACTCCTCCGCCTAAAAAGACATGTTTTTATTGATATTTCTTTTGTATGATATTGTGGCACATAAAAATCCCCACACTGCCGTTGCCCCAATCAGGACACCATACTAAAAGAAGAGGCAATATACTAACTGAAAGTGGACCTATGCCCCCTTTCTCTAAAATTCACCTAACACTTTAATCAACATGAACTATTGTTTAATCCTTATGCTGCTAGCATTAGTAAATAGATAGGAAGGTACATTATATTTGCTTGTTTTACACTTTTTTTCTACATTTCTTCAGTTACTTCCTGGTTTGTGGCCTAGGCAAAAATGATGTGATACATCCCTGGACTCTTCATGGCCTTGTTTTTTTCTTTCAACTGGAAAAGGGGAGAAGGGTTTTTCTTAGCTAAGCACACCCCCCTGCCTGCATGTCTGAGCTAAGGGCAGATGGATTCCAGGAAAAAAATGCTACATGAATCATCTGCCCTTACTCAAGATGGCCATAGCTAGAGATGGGTGTTTTTCAGAGTGATTTCCTAACTAAATAAAGCATGCAGCATTGAGAGCGAGTAGGTGCGGCCACCTGTCCCATTCACTTTAATGACAGGTTGCTGGTGGCCACACCTATTTGCGGCTGTCTGCACAGCCACTGATTACCTGTGATGATGGCTGCTGGATGCACTATGTCTATGTACAACAGCGATCACTGCAGGTAATCACTGGCTGTGCAGAGAGCCGCGAATAGGTTTCTGGCCTAGGACATAATTATGTCATACATCCCAGGAATCTTCATGGCCATGTTTTTATCTTTCATCTGGAAGGGAGGAGGGTTTTTCTCAGCTAAACACACCCCCCTATATTGTATTCTTTCATTAGTTAACACTGGGGATAGTGCCAATTATCTGGATAATAAAGGCTCCCCTTCCATCATACAATGGTAACATTACAATCTCCACTGAGTGGTGACATCACAATCTCCGCCGAGCGGTGATGTCAAGATCTCCACCGAGTGGTGACGTCACTATTTCCACAGAGTGGTGACGTCACTATTTCCACAGAGTGCTGACGTCACTATTTCCACAGATGGCTGACGTCACTATTTCCACAGATGGCTGACGTCAGTATTTCCACAGAGTGGTGATGTCAAGATCTCCACCGAGTGGTGACGTCACTATTTCCACAGAGTGGTGACATCACTATTTCCACCACGTCCAATCAGAAAACTCTTTTCATTCAATGAGAAAATGCAGTGTTCTCTGAATGGCAACTGTGCAAAGCAAGTGACCTCCAGCAGCATGGCAGCCACTCAGCACAGGACCTGCAAGCTAGTGGCAATCACTACAGTAGCAGAACTTGCTACAGTGATTTCCAGCTTCAATGGGGATTCCACAGGTAAGAGATGCCCATAGCGAAAAGAGAGAAAAAGAAAATAGTGCAGGGCAGACATGACTAGGCCAATAGTGGTTAAAAAAAAAGACAGGAAAGAGTTAAGAAAGTACGAGGTGGGTTAAGTGTAATAGGTATTATCTGATTGGTAGCTGGAGGGTAGAAGGTGGGGTCTTCTACACCTTGGGGTGTGGATGGGGAGGGTCGTCAAGCAGTATGGTGGAGGAGGCAGAGAGAAAGCTTCCCTCACGCCCACCCTTGTTTCGTGTGGGTATTTTTGTCACTCCCCTGGGGGTTTTATTCAGGTTTGTGGGTGGTTGTTGGTCATTGGAGTCTTCTGAAGTTAAAAGATAATGGTTTGGGACCCATCAGTGGTATGGTGTGCCCGGGGGAATTCCAGTTAACCGAGGTTTAACTGGAAGGTGGTGGTTCTGCACTGCGGATGGTATGTTTGTCTCCGAGCCGGTGCGTTGCGGCTGGAGGCCTAGTGTAATATGGGTTCCGCAGGTGGATATCGGTTCTGTTTTGGTGCCTTCGAAGACCAAGAACTTTGATTATGTGTTTCTGTTTTAAGGAATGTTTTTGTGTATTGAAGTTGAAGTGTTAATAAAAGGCCGTGTTTGGCCATTTTACTCCAATCGGTGTTATTATTATTATACAGTATTTATAAAGCGCCAATGGTTTGCTCAGCGCTGTACATTACAAAGGGGGACAGAACAATACCAATACAATGCAAAACATGAGGGGATTGAGGGCCCTGCTCTTTCGAGCTTACAATCTAGGAGGGAGGGGATGGTGGCACAGGAGGAGATAGCTGTGGGGGATGGAGTGGTAGGAAGAGGGGAGGAGGTCGGCAAGTTAGCAGGGGGTGGGGTAGGCTTCCCTGAAGAGATGGGTTTTCAGGGTGCACCTAAAGGAGAGGAGAGTAGGTGATAATGTGATGGGTTGGGGCAGGGAGTTCCAGAGGATGGGTGACAACCTGGAGAAGTCCTGGAGGCGGGCATGGGAGGAGGAGACCAGGGAACTAGAGAGAAGGAGGTCTTGTGAGGAGCGGAGTGTGCGTGCTGGGCGGTACTTGGATATTAGGTCAGTGATGTAGTTGGGGACAGTATGGTGGACGGCTATGTACATCAGCGTTAGGATTTTGAATTTGATCCGTTGCGCAATCGGAAGCCAGTGGAGGGATTGGCAGAGGGGGGTGGCGGAAACGGAGCGGTTGGAAAGGGGAATGAGTCTGGCAGCCGTATTCAGGATCGACTGAAGCGGGGATAGCCAGCGGCGAGGCGGCCAGTGAGGGAGTTGCAGTAGTCGAGTCGTGATATGATGAGGGAGTGGATGAGCTGTTTAGTGGTTTCTGGAGTTAGGAACGTGCGGATTTTGGCGATGTTGCGGAGGTGGAGTCTGCACGAGTTTGTTAAAGATTGGACTTGGGGCTGAAAGGATAAGTTGGAGTCCAGAATGACATCAAGTACTCTGGCCTGCAGGGCGGGTTTGATGGTGGCGTTGTGTTTTCCTTTAATGTCAGTTTATAAGGGGTGGGTATGTGAAGAGTGAAATGGTGGTGTAGTGGGTCTTGACTAGCCTATCTCCTGTGCACTTGTCATGGCATATACGTACATATGTAAAAACTGCTATACCTAAGCTTCCAATTCATGGTAAATTGAGTGAATTCATGTTGCTGCATTTATAATCATTATTAGTTCAGCACAGGGGCGGACTGACCATTTGGAAACTCGGGCACTGCCCAAGGGCCCGGGTCAGTAGGGGGCCCCATGAGATGCCCCTGGTACCTTTTTCATAGGCTTTTTTGAGTTTGGGCAAGGACACAGGGGCCCCATGATCCCCTATTGCCCGGGGGCCCCATGAGTTGTCAGCCCGCCCCTAGTTCAGCAACTACTTTTCCTTGTTGTATGGAATTGCCCCTTAAGCTGATGTGATTGGTGATTTTCAAGGGGTTGACAGGACAGCCTGGACCTTCTGCATTATGCTCCCAGAAATAATTAATTGGAATAATAAAAAAAAATAAAAATGTTCATGATCTGTATTTCTTCTCCTCTGAAATTACTTCTTTATTTCTGACAAGAGGAGAGATTAGTTTTTGTGCTTGCAGCATCTGTAGAATTTGTGCTTCATATTAGCAGAACAAGGTTTTGCCTTTTGTCAAACATGTTTGCAGAATAGAGCTTCAATTTTATGTTTACTAGTGAATAAGAAAGCTTCGCTTCTGCCTTTCAAGGCTGCCTTTTATTTTGCTGCCAGGAGAAAGAGAGCCAATAACGAAACAACGGGGCAAAAATACAATTCTTAATTTAGTGACGCACAGGACATCTGCCTTGTATCTCTGCTCTGCATTTATCCTGATTTCAAAAATGCATTATGATCGTCCATTAGATTAAAAAATATTGCTCAGGGTAAAGTATCATTTTTAATATGTTGATCGGTGACAGTGTCTACAATTTATTAATATCTCCTAAAGTGATCCCTTCAGCACAGAATCATTGGCATACCAATAGCCGACCTACTCAAAGAAGAGGCAATATACTAACTGAAAGTGAACCTATGCCCCCTTTCTCTAAAATTCACCTAACACTTTAACCTTCTTAGCGGTATTCCCGAGTGTAGCTCGGGGTAAAATTTCTATACCAAGAGCGGTAACCCCCGAGCTACACTCGGGCTTACCATGCGGCGTTGCTCAGGGGGTCCCCGCAGCACTTACCTTGTCCTTTGCTCCCGCGATGTGTCCCCTGCAGCGTCCCCGTCCATCTCCTCCGGCCGATGCCGGCATCCGGCTTCTGTGTTCCGGTCCCTGTGACGTCGGGGGCGTACGGGCGCCAGAACTGGCGGGAAATTTGAAATTTTTTAAAAATGTCATTTTTGCTGTCATTGCTGTTTCAATGCATTTCACATACATTTTGGCCCTACTGCTTTGTCCGGCGCCCTGCCTGCATTTTGAATGTTCATTCTGCCTGGAAACTTAGAAAAGTCCATGGCGTCCAAAAAGCATCCCTTTACGTCAAAAGCGGTTTTAGAACAGCGATAGTAAATCAGAACCACTTGCAGAATTGAGTGATAATGATTTGTGGGGGAAATTCGTCATCAGACACTGAAAACGATTTTGCGACTTTGCTCAGCGATGTGCGAATTTGCCTCTGTATTTCAAATTTCAGTGTTTTTGGTTTGATTATATTATTGAATCAAATTTATTATTATTATATTATTATTTTTTATGATTATTTATTAAATTATAATTTATGATTTCGTGTTTCAAATGTTATCATACCCGGGATGTTTACTAGACTCTTGTTCGTACAGATTTCAGTGAGTTATTCCTAAAAATTACAGCCTACAATAAAAAAAACTACATATTTCCATGCAAAAAAATGGTACCGCTTTCAGCACAAAAAATCGGAAAGAATCATACCGCCAGGGAGGTTAATTAACATGACTATTTTTAATCCTTATGCTGCTAGCATTAGTAAATAGATAGGAATGTACATTATTTTTACTTGTTTTAAACTTTTTTTCTACATTTCTTCAGTTACTTTCTGGTCTCTGACCTAGGCCAAAATGATGTCATACATCCCTGGAGTGTTCAGTCGGAGAAGGGTTTTTTTTTCAGCTAAGCACACCCCCCTGCCTGCATGTCTGAGCTAAGGGCAGGAAAAAAAATGCTACATGAACAGGGGCGGACTGACAAGTCATGGGGCCCCCTGGGCAATAGGGGATCATGGGGCCCCTGTGTCCTTGCCCAAACTCAAAAAAGCCTATGAAAAAGGTACCAGGGGCATCTCATGGGGCCCCCTACTGACCCCGGGCCTCGGGCAGTGCCCGAGTTTCAAAATGGTCAGTCCGCCCCTGTACATGAATCATCTGCCCTTACTCAAGATGGCCATATCTAGAGATGGCTGTTTTTCAGAGTGATTTCCTAACTAAATAAAGCATGCAGCACTGACAGCGAGTAGGTGCGGCCGCCTGTCCCATTCACTATAAATGACAGGTTGCTGGTGGCCGCACCTATTTGCTGCTCTCTGCACATCCACTATTACCTGCGGTGATGGCTTCTGGATGCACTGGGATTTTATTTACTAAAGCTGGGAGTGCCACAGACTCACTTTGCATAGAAACCAATCTCTTCCAGGTTTCATCAAAGCTTCATTTACCTGCGGTTGATGGTTTCTATGCAGAAGAGTGGATTTTGCACTATGTCTATGCACAACAGCGATCACTGCAGGTAATCACTGGCTGTGCAGAGAGCCGCGAATAAGTGCAGCCGCCGGTGACCTATCAATATAGTGATCAGGGCCAGAGGCCGCACATACCATTACAATTTGCACCGGCCCTAATCACCGGTGTGATTGTAGCTCTAAGGGTTTGTAATGCTGTCTGTGTCCCGGCTGGTAAGATTGACTATTTGTCCTGGTAACCAAAAATGTGATGGGAAATCCAAACTTTTTGAGTTATCATGACAAGAAAGGGTGAGGAGAAATCTTTCAATGGGGAAACCTGTTCTAGTGGTATCTAAGAGTAACCCAGGGTTCCTCAACCAGGGTTCCTCTAGAGTTTTCTAGGGGCTCCTTGAGCAATGAGCAGTTTCTGCCTCTCAGATGAAATCCCACTGACACCTTTAATCTTTTAGTTATCTGTAAGGGGGTAATTCTTCCCAATGTCCACAAGTGCAAGAAGCATTCTTCCCACTGAGCATCACACCAATGCATCATGAGTTGTAGATATAGCAATTTTTAGCAAGGGATCCTTGAGACAGGAAAGCTGTTTCAAGAGTTCCTCTGTTTTGAAAAAGTTGAGAAAGGCTGGGATAACTCCTTGGTTTGGAGAGATCTTCTCTTACTTCTTGCCGTTTCTCTGGGACAGGAAGTAAAGAGAAATCTCCTTGCCTAAACACAAACAGAAAACAAGAACTGATGGGGGCCCCAAGTATTCACTATTCTATTTAAACAAGACATACATTTTGGTTTTACATGCACTTTAACTCTATTGTGACCTTTTCTTTTTTTTCATTATTGAAATTCAAATCAGGTCTTGATGGCTGCTCTCAAAATCATTTCGTTTGAAAGTTGGTTACAATTACATAAAATGGGAACCGTAGAGACTGAAGACCACTGCTCTATTACCGAGATGCTCTTATTGCATTGCCGAGTTAAATTCGATTGAAATGCATACTGAAACAGAAGTGCCGTCAAAGCAATTCCTTCCTTTATTTTTTTTTCTTCTCTTCGTCTCATCGTGATTTTTTTGAATCAAGGCTTTAACGTAATTTTCTTAATTTAAGCAATAAAGACGCAGCGAAGAATTTCCAGAGCTGCTCCATAAAATGGGAGCCAAATCGTGTTATGGTAATGATTTTCAATCATATCTAAAAGGGTTCTTTATCAAAGCTATTATAGGCAGTTCTTTAGAAAAGAAACTAAGATATAGCTCGCGAAAAAAAAAAACAGTAAAGCAGAAAATATGAAAGTGGGTGAGAAGGCAAAGTACAGAAAGATTAGATGGGAGATGGGGGGGAGAAATTGTCGCTATCATAAAGGACCACATGTTTGAAATTTCCGATCAGGGCAGCCTGTTAAAAATGCATAGATAGATGATGAAAATATAATAGAAACAGAAACATAGAAGAGTGATGGTAGAAAAAGACCAAGTGGTCTATCCAGTCTGTCTTTTTAAAAAAAAAAAATGTTCTTGTTATTTTTTTGTCTGCTGAATATCCATTCCAAGATTCAGATACTAAAATACTTTTTAAGGTTAGTTTTGAACTTTCCTCTCCCTAGTTCGTGGTTATGTCCCCATGTTCTTGATTTTGTTCATTTGTTTTGTCTGATGGAAGTCCATTCCTAGGATCAGTTACTAAAATACTTTCTGAGGTTAGTTTTGAACTTTCCTCTCCCTAGTTTGTGGCTATGTCCCCATGTTCTTGATTTTGTTCATTTGTTTTGTCTGATGGAAGTCCATTCCTAGAATCAGTTGCTAAAATACTTTCTGAGGTTAGTTTTGAACTTTCCTCTCCCTAGTTTGTGGTTATGTCCCCATGTTCTTGATTTTGTTCATTTGTTTTGTCTGATGGAAGTCCATTCCTAGAATTAGTTACTAAAATACTTTCTGAGGTTAGTTTTGAACTTTCCTCTCCCTAGTTTGTGGTTATGTCCCCATGTTCTTGATTTTGTGCATTCGTTTTGTCTGATGAAAGTCCATTCCAAGAATCAGTTACTAAAATACATACTTTGTGAGGCTAGTTTTGAACTTTCCTCTCCCTAGTTTGTGGTCATGTCCCCCTATTCATGAGTTTTGGCTTTATACTGAACATACTGCCCTCCTGACCTTTATTAGCACCCTTATTATATTTAAAGGGTTTAATCATGACCTTCCCTTTCCCTTCCTTCCTCAGTACTGTACATATTAAATTCCCCTAGTCACTCTGCGATATGATTTATCCCTCAGACTTGACTTCATTGAACAACATGGAATTCGGAAATTTATTTTAAGTTATGACTAAAAGAAATGTGTCCCTTGCATTTGAAGAAAGAGGCATTCTGTTCAGATAAAAATTTGGGAGATCCCTTCCTCACTTGTTTTGAAGGTTTCCCATGAGTCAGATAGAAAAAGAAGTGATGGAAAATCACTTTAGTAGGGACATAAGCAACTATGAGAGAAGCTTTTTTGTTTAATTTGGCAGTGCACTTAGTTGTAAGCACTTGCGTTGCGGCACTAGGGTTCTCGGTTCCTCTGGGGACACCAATTCCCTCCCACCCTCCAAAGATATATTGGGAGGTTATTTGGCTTCTGTCTACATTGGCCCTAGTATGCGTATGTATGTGAGCTAGAGACCTTAGATTGTAAGCTCCTTGAGGGTAAGGACCAGGGGCGGACTGACAACTCATGGGGGGCCCCCCCGGGCAATAGGGGATCATGGGACCCCTGTGCCCTTGCCCAAACTCAAAAAAGCCTATGAAAAAGGTACCAGGGGCATCTCATGGGGCCCCCTACTGACCCCGGGTCCTTGGCCAGTGCCCAAGTTTCCAAATGGTCAGTCCGCCCCTGGTAAGGACTGATGTCAATGTATAGTACTGTGTAAAATGTCAGTGCTAAGTTCAGTAAAAATAACTATAATGTACTTAGGTCCTTATGAGGGAGACTTTTCCTTGCTTTCTGACCAGTTGACTGGATGAGGAAGAGAAGTGATATTTCTTCCCCGGGTCAAAGGCATCATTTAAAGAAGATCTAAACTCGTAGTTAATTAAATCATCAGCAGGCACCTTCCCTCTAAAAACATCCACTTCTTGATCCTCCAGAGTATATCAGGTGCTAGCCCAGATGTACATTATTATAACATTTATTTATTTTGATATTTATTATATATAACAATTATCCTCTTCAGCCAACGAGGGAGCTTTGCACATCTTTGTACATATTCTCCTTGTGATCATTACCTGCCCTGCTGAAAAAAAAACCCCCAAAAAAACTTTGTTTACACAGTTCAATAACTCAAGCAAAAAAAACCTGTGCACATAACTAGACTAGTCTGAGCTGTGACTCCTTACCCTCTTTGCTTTGTTCAGACAACTCCATACAAAGCCTCAAACATACAGAAGATCTAAGGCAATCAGTTTTAAACATGAGGTTAATACTTTATAACTTCCTGTTAAAGCTGAACTCTTTTTTTGTAGCCACCTCTCCCCTTACCTCCTTTACAATATAGTAAGGCTGCCAATACATATCACTTTTTTCTGTTTAATCAGCAGATTGAATGGAAAAAAAAAATGACCTGATTCCCCCATCCACCTCGAAAGTGTGGATCACTCCCACTGTTCTGAAGGTGAGGATACGTCCCTACTGTCAGAATGCATTGATTAGCACTGTCAGCTATAGCTATATACAGTATGGCTGGCTCAAGTCTCCAATGTTTGTTTAGTCTAGGTGGCTTTAAGTAGACTTCCTCCTGACCCACTGACCAATTCTATGAAGCCAGCCTTTCACTAAGGGGAGACCTTTAGTCTGAGACTGGAGCTTGTAGGTGGGACTCAGGTCTAGGGTACCCATTAGTCAGAGACCACACACGCAGTTCTTGATGTTATAGTTATCCTGTATAATATATATACAGTCATGGCCGAAATTGTTGGCACCCTTGATATTTCTCCAGGAAATCATGTATTTCTCACGAAACGTATTGCATTAACACATGTTTTGCTATACACATGTTTATTCCCTTTGTGTGTATTGGGACAAAACAAAAAAAGGGAGGAAAGAAAGCAAATTCGACATAATGTCACACAAACCTCCAAAAATGGGCTGGACAAAAGTATTGGCACCCTTTCACAACTGCGGATAAATAAGAATGTTACAAGCATGTGATGCTCCTGTAAACTCACCTGGGGCAAGTAACAGGTGTGGGCAATATAGAAATCACACCTGAAGCAGATATAAAAAGGAGAGACGTTCACTTAACCTTTGCATTGTGTGTCTGTCTGTGCCACACTAAGCATGGACAACAGAAAGAGGAGACGAGAACTGTCTGAGGACCTGAGAACCAAAATTGTGGCAAAATATCAACAATCTCAAGGTTACAAGTCCATCTCCAGAGAACTAGATTTGCCTTTGTCCACAGTGCGCAACATTATCAAGAAGTTTGCAACCCATGGCACTGTAGCTAATCTCCCTGGTCGTGGACGGATGAGGAAAATTGATGAAAGATTGCAACGCAGAATAGTCCGGATGGTGGATAAGCAGCCCCAAACATGTTCCAAAGACATTCAAGCTGTCCTGCAGGCTCAGGGAGCATCAGTGTCAGCGCGAACTATCCGTCGACATTTAAATGAAATGAAACGCTATGGCAGGAGACCCAGGAGGACCCCACTGCTGACACAGAGACATAAAAAAGCAAGACTACAGTTTGCCAAAATGTACTTGAGTAAGCCAAAAGCCTTCTGGGAAAACGTCTTGTGGACAGATGAGACCAAGATAGAGCTTTTCGGTAAAGCACATCATTCTACTGTTTACCGAAAACGGAATGAGGCCTACAAAGAACAAAACACAGTACCTACGGTAAAATATGGTGGAGGTTCAATGATGTTTTGGGGTTGTTTTGCTGCCTCTGGCACTGGGTGCCTTGACTGTGTGCAAGGCATCATGAAATCTGAGGATTACCAAAGGATTTTGGGTCGCACTGTAGGGCCCAGTGTCAGAAAGCTGGGTTTGCGTCCAAGATCCTGGGTCTTCCAGCAGGACAATGACCCCAAACATACGTCAAAAAGCACTCAGAAATGGATGGCAAAGAAGCGCTGGAGAGTTCTGAAGTGGCCAGCAATGAGCCCAGATCTAAATCCCATTGAACACCTGTGGAGAGATCTTAAAATTGCTGTTGGGAAAAGGTGTCCTTCCAATAAGAGAGACCTGGAGCTGTTTGCAAAGGAAGAGTGGTCCAAAATTCCGGGTGAGAGGTGTCAGAAGCTTATTGATGGTTATAGGAAGCGACTGATTTCAGTTATGTTTTCCAAAGGGTGTGCAACCAAATATTAAGTTAAGGGTGCCAATACTTTTGTCCAGCCCATTTTTGGGGTTTTGTGTGACATTATGTCATATTTGCTTTTCTGCCTCTGTTTTATATTTGTTCCAATACATACAAAGGGAATAAACATGTGTATAGCAAAACATGTGTTAATGCAATACCTTTTTTGTGTGAAATACTTGATTTTCAGGAAAAATATCAAGGGTGCCAACAATTTCGGCCATGACTGTATATATATATATATATATATATATATAATATATATATATATATATGTTATCAGCAATTAATAATAACAGTATTTGTAGACATTGACGAATGGCAATAGAGCAGTTGGTATTTACAAAGTGCTACCAGGCTTGGACCTGCATTACCGGAGAACAGATTCCGCTGGGGTGGTGGTGGTTGGTGGTGTACTGGGACAGCACTTTAATGCTGCTGGGAAGAGCCCCACATTTGTAATCTGAATACCACAATGTTTCCACAACCAGGCGTTGGCCCTGTTTTGATCGTACTTATCAGAAACCCTTCCCTGCACTTTACATTCCCCCTAAGGGTCTCTATCCTTTACTTGCCACTTGCTCCAGGCATGCCCAAATTACATGGTTACATTCAGGGGCAGACTGACCATTTGGAAACTCGGGCACTGGTCAGTAGGGGGCCCCATGAGATGCCCCTGGTACCTTTTTCATAGGCTTTTTTGAGTTTGGGAAAGGACACAGGGGCCCCATGATCCCTTATTGCCCAGGGGCCCCATGAGTTGTCAGTCCACCCCTGGTTGCCCTATTTTATAGGATCCTATACCAAGATGGCTACTGAAGGTCACCAGAAGTTGTAGCGTCCAATCAGATAGCTGGCACCTTTGAGACACCAACAGAGTGCATGAGGGGACAATCCCCCTAACAGACTTCAATCCATCTGTATAATGGCACAGTGACACCTACTGGATGGAGGTGAAACCTGTACCTGCCTACATTTCAGTTAGTGTTGAATGATGGAGAAGCTAGATATATGGTAGGTATTTTTCTTTGTTATATTATTGGAGGCTTAATATGGGGGGATGAATACCAAAGAGGGATTTGTATAAGCTGGCCAAAGTTCAACTTAAAGACTTTACATTGGAAATGGATTGATTTGTTTTTAAAGCACACAACCCCTTTAGCATATTTGCTGCATAATGTCAGTTTGAAATATAACAGCCTGCATCTCTTTGCTTTATCATAGAATGAGCAGTGAGAGGTGATTTTCGAGATAAAGTCGTGCATTGAAAGCGGTGACAGTGATTACTGGCTGATGCAGCTGATTCCCAGCCCGGTCTCCATGAGTCTAGTTGTCTTTAACAGCTCAGTCATGGCAAATGAGATATCATGGATCATATATATTACATATTGCTTTAAAATGCACTGTGTTCATAAATGTGACCTGCCATGTGCAGGAACTCAAAAAAAAAAAATATTATTCATCTGGTCTGCTTATGGACAGAAACATATAGTTTAATATCATAGAAAAAAAAATGTACATGTTATAAATATATTGTGAATCAATCAGTGGCAGGGCTGTGGGAGTGGGAGGTGTATATGTATAAAACTTTTTGTTTTCTCAGAATCTTAGTCCTGTGCTGGGTCCTGGAGCCCAGAGGCTTTGTAGAGCTTTGGGCTGGATAAAGCCTTACAAAGGAATTAGGAGGTTGTCTTTTCTGAGTCATTTAGCTGTATGTTTAGCTGGGCATTTAGCTGGGCAGCACAGTGGCTAAATGGTTAGCACTTCCACCTGGCAGTACTAGGGTCGTTGGTTCAAATCACAGCCATGGCACCTCCTGCTTGGAGAGTTTGCATGTTCTGCCTGTGTGGGTTTCCTCTGGGAACTCTGGTTTCCTCCCACACTCCAAAGACATGCTGGTAGGTTAATTGGCTCCTGTCTAAGTTGGCCCTAGTATGTGTATGTATGAACCTTAGATTGTACACCCCTTGAGGGTTAGGGACTGATGTGAATGTACAATATATATGTAAAGTGCTGCGTAAATTGAGGCGCTATATAAGTACCTGAAATAAATAATGTGTGCTGTGGATAGACCTGGATAGCAGGAGATCAAATTAAACAGGCTATTTAGAGCATTGTAGAAAAACTGTGGCTACGGCTTCTAGTGCGCCACCTGCTGTCTGCAAATGGCATACATAATATTCATATACAATAGATATTTATAGGTAATCTACATATTTAATTTAGAAAAAAAATTGTTTACTATAAATTTAACTAATATATGTCATTTGAATCCCTAACCTATCGCCAGTTCTTGTTTACATTTCTATGACCTGTGCACAGGATCTTTACTCCCTCACCCTCTGACCTCTAATCAAACTCAATGGAGAATTTCTAGTAAACAATTAACTTCAATACAATTAGGCATTCTTACTGTGTAAATAATGCACTTACATTGATCTATATACATAATTATACATCTATTTTGTATGTCATTATATATTTTCACATCAAGGAAAAATCCTATTAAAAAACATCCTCCACTGCTTTTCTAAACCTCAGACTGGGGGTCAAAATAGTTAGGATGCCAGAAGTCTTCTTATGGGATTTAACCCTTTGAGGACCAAGGGACGTATTTGTCCCATGTTTTTAATTGCGTGCATACCATCTGATTAAGAGCTTTAAAACTTTTTTTTTTTGGTTTGAGTCAAAATATTACTTCTTATCAACAAACAACAAATGGATCTAGCTTTTTGCCAATTATTTCATGATATGGCTTTGTTACAGCAACTGAAGTGTACGAACTTTAAAAACAAAAAAATTTATACTTTTGGCGTTCCAAAATCTTACGGTCCTCAAAGGGTTAAGGGATTTGATTGGTTTGGTTGACCTGGAAAAAAAATATACACTCATCGGCCACTTTATTAGGTACACCTTGCTAGTGCCAGGAAAATCTCCCCCACACCATTACACCACAGGCCTGAACTGTTGACACAAGCAGGATAGATCCATGCTATCATGTTGTTTACACCAAATCTGAATGCCGCAGCAACCAGTCTGCCCATTCTTCTCTGACCTCTGATATCAACAAGGCATTTTTGTCCACACAACTGCTGCTCACTGGATATTTTATCTTTTTTGGACCATTCTCTGTAAACCCTAGAGATGGTTGTACGTGAAAATCCCAGTAGATCAGCAGTTTTTGAAATACTCAGACAAGCACGTCTGGGACCAACCAGGGGCGGACTGACCATTTGGGAACTTAGGCACTGCTCGAGTGCCCGGGGTCAATAGGGGGCCCCATGAGATGCCCTTGGTACCTTTCATAGGCTTTTGAGTGTAAGTGAGGACACAGGGGTCCATGATCCCCTATTGCCCGGGGGGCCCCATGAGTTGTCAGTCCGCCCCTGGGACCAACAACCATGCCACGTTCAAAGTTACTTAAATCTCCTCTTTTCCCCATTTTGATGCTCAGTTTGAACTTGAGCAAGTCATCTTCACCACGTCTAAATGCCTAAATGCATTGAGTTGCTGCCATGTGATTGGCTGATTAGCAATTTGTGTTACAAAGCAATTGAACAGATGTACTTAATAAAGTGGCCGGTGAGTGTATGCTTTCCCCAAAATTTGGGGTCATTCGAATCTCCCATGCTAGTAGAGTTTTTCTTCAGTAGTAACTCTTCTTCTTCTTCTTCTTTTTCATTGCAGGTAAATCATGGATTCCAAGCAGAGGCAATGTGCCATCATTGAGTTTTTGACAAAGAAGGGGTGCAGGTTGTCCAACATCCAGAGCAGGCTACAGAATGTTACAGAGATGACACCATTGAAAAAAGCAATGTCTTGTCATTGATGATTATTGTACCATCTCCATTCCGTAAACATTTTGTGGCCTTCTGTGGATGTCGGACAGCCTGCACAATTCTTTTGTTAAGAACTCAATGACGGCACATTGTTGTATGCTTTCCCCAAAATTTGGGGTCATTCAAATCTCCCATGTTAGTAGAGTACTTTTTCTTCAGTAGTAACTCTTCTTATTCTTCTTCTTTTTCATTGCAGGTAAATCATGGATTCCAAGCAGAGGCAATGTGCCATCATGAATTTTTTGACAAAGAAGGGGTGCAGGTTGTCCAACATCAGGCAGAGCAGGCTGAAAAAACAGTCAATGTTGACAGAGATGACACCATTGAAAAAAGCAATGTCTTGTCATTGATGACTATTGTACCATCTCCATTCCGTAAACATTTTGTGGCCTTCTGTGGATGTTGGACAGCCTGCACCCTTCTTTTGTTAAGAACTCAATGACGGCACATTGTTGTATGCTTTCCCCAAACTTTGGGGTCATTCAAATTTCCCATGTTAGTAGAGTACTTTTTCTTCAGTAGTAACTCTTCTTATTCTTCTTTTTCATTGCAGGTAAATCATGGATTCCAAGCAGAGGCAATGTGCCATCATTGAGTTTTTGACAAAGAAGAGGTGCAGGTTGTCCAACATCCAGAGCAGGCTACAGAATGTTTACAGAGATGACACCATTGAAAAAAGCAATGTCTTGTCATTGATGATTATTGTACGATCTCCATTCCGTAAACATTTTGTGGCCTTCTGTGGATGTTGGACAGCCTGCACCCTTCTTTTGTTAAGAAGTCAATGACGGCACATTGTTGTATGCTTTACCCAAACTTTGGGGTCATTCAAATCTCCCATGTTAGTAGAGTACTTTTTCTTCATTAGTAACTCTTCTTCTTGTTCTTCTTCTTTTTCATTGCAAGTAAGTAACGGGTTCCAAACATAAACAATGTGCCGTCATTGAGTTCTTAACAAAAGAAGGGTGCAGGCTGTCCGACATCCACAGAAGGCCACAAAATGTTTACAGAATAGAGATGGTACAAGAGTCATCAATGACAAGACATTGCTTTTTTCAATGGTGTCATCTCTGTAAACATTCTGTAGCCTGCTCTGGATGTTGGACAACCTGCACCCCTTCTTTGTCAAAAACTCAATGATGGCACATTGCCTCTGCTTGGAATCCATGATTTACCTGCAATGAAAAAGAAGAAGAATAAGAAGAGTTACTACTGAAGAAAAAGTACTCTACTAACATGGGAGATTTGAATGAGCCCAAATTTTGGGGAAAGCATACACTCATATGGCCACTTTATTAAGTACATCTGTTCAATTGCTTTGTAACACAAATTGCTATTCAGCCAAGAAGAAGAAGTCACTATAGAGGGAGAGTTACTCTACCAACATGAGAAATTTGAATAATCTAGGTAAGTTAATAAAAAGTTGTGCCCACTTTTGCAGTACTTTGGGTACAATCCTCAAATCTTGCCCCTAGCAATGCCAGCAGGATTAATGCTTTAACAAACTTGTCCCTTGTGTCTTATACTTTGCTTTTCTTTGTTGCAGCTTATTGCTGCATTGTCCTTCTCCATGAAATTTCTTGTCTTCATCTATAATTCATGGTAACAATATTGTTATTCCTGAGACCTATGTGTTAAGTATATTGAACAGCTGCAAATAAATAACCTTCTATGCTTTTTAGTGATGACAAGAATGGAAACCTTTGCCATGTGCTTCAAGCTAGGTAGTAACGATTTAGAATTTCCTTGATGCTTTGGAATAGGTTTTCCAGATTAGTTCTATTTTCTACAAAGCAAACCTACATTAGCTCCAGATGTGTAATATCTAGGTGGAAACCAAATGTGAAATATTTATTTGTAAATTTTCTTACCCATCAAATTATAATTCTGTGCAGGCAGTCTTGTGAGTGCCTTTCAGACAGCATTCTGAGGTCCCTAAAAGGGAATTCGGGGTTATACCTGACTAGCCTTAAATCAGTCCCTCACTCCCAATACCTATGCTAACTAACCTTTGTAAGAAATATGTATATACTTGTCTATTTTCAGGCCAATCCAGTTGGGTTATGCAATCCAACTCCCCTGTGTCAGCCAGCATGACTGCAGGGGAGAGAAGGGAGCTCAGAAAGCAGTGAGTGATGTCATCGCTCCCAGGCATAACCAGTTGATTTCAAAGCGATCTCTCCCCTGCAGCCGCTGCTAGCTGACACAGGGGATCATGTGACTGGAGCAGGCTAAAATAGGTAAGTATATTTCTTACACAGGTTAGTTAGCATAAGCAGGGGCGGACTGACAACTCATGGGGCCCCTGGGCAATAGGGGATCATGGGGCCCCTGTGTCCTTGCCCAAACTCAAAAAAGCCTATGAAAAAGGTACCAAGGGCATCTCATGGGGCCCCCTACTGACCCCGGGCCCTCATAATGTTTAGCTCCTGCAGAGCGAGTAGTCTTTGGGTATTCGTCCAAATGCTCAAAGAGCCAAGGTTCTGTCTGAAATTGTATTCAGACAGAATCTTCAACTTATGCCCATCTTGCAGTTTCTACTTTTTTCTCATTCCTTTTTCTCCCTAGCTATATTTCTTTTGCTCCTTCTGTGTGTAGGCAGATGAAGTCTATTTTCTCCACTGTAGGTTGCACTTGTCCAAAGCGGTACTACAACTGGAGGGGAAGTCTAGAGAAACTTGCTTTCTCTATGGTTCCCTTGGTTCCCGGAAGCAGCTTTTCCATTGGCTATGCTGCATGATCCTGGTAGCCATCTTGGGTCATGTAGAGCCTTTTTATGTACCTTCCCCCAGGTTTTTTTAGTGTGCTTTTGCAAAGTGGCTAATGGACAACACTAGCGGTAAGGACAAGTTCTGTAGGAGAAGTGATAGCTCAGGACTATGCTTGCACTGCAGCAAGCTCCCTTTTGGATTGGACCTGCCAGGTTGCATTCCACTCCCCCTGAACCCTTTGGTAAGAACCGTCTTCCGTCTGGGCCAACTACCACGGACTCTGTATTGACTGTAAGTTCAAGCTCCCTTGTCTGGCTGCAAATTCATCAATACATTGGTTACTTGCACCATGTTGCACCCACCTAACATATGTTTCCTTCTATCAGTGTCCCCCAATCTATCTCTTGCCCCCTCTCTGGCTTACTCTGCCTTCCTATCTCTGATTCTCTTTTTCTCTGAATTTATCTCTCTCTTTCTTCCTTTCTCCCTCATATTCTAAAGTTAAGTAAATTGTCTTAACCTAGCATTGAATGGTTTTGCCACAAAACTGCTTAGTGCAGAGAGAAATGACCTTTATACAGAGGCCACATTGTACATATTACTGTGGAATGATTATAATCTAATGGGATTTTAGATATTGCATTGTTCTTATTTTCCTTTGCTGAATGTGGAAAAAGGAGCTTTCTTATTGCATTGACCTCCACACAGAAGGGCAGTGCCAACGATATGCTGAATTGTTAACACACTAATATCACACAATACACTCTGTAGACACAATATTTGATTTAATTCTAACAAGGACTCATTTCTAACTGTGTCTCATTCATGACCCATACACATTACATGCTACTGTTCCACTAAATGTTCAGATAGAGATTGACTGCTAAGTAACCAGAGGCAACCAAGAATGATACTGCATATTTTTTCCTTTGTCTTTACTTGTTGAGGAAGGAAACTGATACCTGTGTGCTGAAAGGGCTGTGGTTATAGTTCCTTCTATCAAGGCATGCATGAAATGATGCCACAGGCGCCTCTATGTCTCTTGTCATCAGCCATGTACCCATATTAAAATGAAAATCACTTTTGTAGGGGCAAGATGTTGTCTGTTTTTATAGGTAGAGTTATTGTTGGACTTTACAGTCCACCAACCAAGAGCTTCTAGAGAAATAGGAGACAGCTAGAGTTGATTGATTGCAGTGTCTTCGGACTCCTTCAAACAGCCCTTATGCTTTTGTCATAAAGCTTTTCCGGCAATACCAAAATTCAGCAATATTTTCCATGGCTCAACAAGATGGAATGATCCTCTTTACAATCGTGTTTCTCTATTGCAACACTGATACAGCGTGACTTCTTAGCGCCAATGGCTAGACATCAGCAAGAACACGTCATGCACCTTTTCCACCTTAAAGAAAATTGCAGTGTGTCTTTTATTTAATTTTTGGATGAATTGCAAACTAATAACTTATATAAAAATATAATTTTTTTTGTATAAAATGCTTATTTTAAATTTATGGAGTGTGTTTCCATTCAGTGTGTGCAGTGCTTTCTGATGTATTTAATAAGAAAGCCTAGCACTAGATCTGCACCAGCTGATTATTCAACCAAAGATTTGAGACTGTCTCTGCATGTTTCTTCTCCTACTCATTCAACTGACCCTTTTAGCTGAGTTTGTTTTTATCAGAGATCCCTCTACTGAAATCTCAGGACACCAGTTATCTGAAATCCTGGCGTGCCATGCTCACACTCACCAACTGTTCACACAGTAAGTGACCATAAACAGATCCACACTCCTGATACAGCCATAAAACAAGGGGAAGGGAGAGTGCACAGCCATCTAGTGGCACCATCCAGGCTTCCAGGGCACTTACAAATCTTGCCAAATGAAACAACATTTCATTGGTGTTCCATATTCACCCATCATGGCGGGCTGTACCAATTTGCTCTTCAGGCACTTAATTTCC